CAACCCGCCCAAATGCCCTTCTGGAGCGCCGCTCCGGCCCCCGTGAGCTGCTGGGAGGAGGGGACAGCAGTGAGTTGACCCAGGCTGCCCCACCGCCATCCCTAGATGGAGGACTTAGGCCCCAGTCCGCACCTGCCCAGAGTTTTGACCTCAAGCTCTAGCCCCGCCCCCGCCCCTTTGGGAGAAGAAGGCGGCGGGGGCGGGGGAGAGACCCAGCTGAGTGATGCTGGGGCTTCCCGGGGAGGCTTTCCCCAGCGCGGGGAGGGCAGCGGGAGGGGGCCTGGGAAGCATCTGGGTGGGGGGCGGAAGGCAGGCTGGAGCGGGGGTTTTGACAGGTGCCGCTGAGGTTCCGAAAAGAGCACGGAGCCTCCGGTGGCCTGGAGGCCGGGAGTGGGAAGGGAAGGGAAGGAAGGAGCAGGGGAGGGCTGCTCGGGGAGACTGGTTCTCCAGGAATCCACAGCAACTTGGGAGCTGTTGGCATGTAGATGGGGGCGAGAGGCCTCCGGCAAAGCCCTGCCCATCGCTCTGCCTCCTCCCTTTCTTCCTCTGGGGACCGGGCTCCTCGGCCCTGCACCTGCGCGTCCAGACCTTGGTGGCCACCACGCCGGCTGTAGTACAGGATTTTTTAAAATTTTATTTATTTTTTTGCTGAGGCAGGTAGAGTCCGAGATGCCTGGTGTGGCCTTTAGCTTCCAGACTTTCTCCCAGTTTCCACTGTTCGGCATTTCTTTTCTTTTAAATATGTTTTTATTGATTTCAGAGAGGGAGGGAGAGGGAGAGAGAGATAGAAGCATCAATGATGAGAGAGAATCAATGATTGGCTGCCTGCTGCATGCCTCACACTGGGGATTGAGCCTGCAACCCCCTGACCGTAATCGAAGGGGATCGTGACCTCCTGGTTCATAGGTCAACACTCAACTACTGGGGCACGAAGGCCAGGCCGGGCTGTTTGGCATTTCTTTGCACACAAGCACCCCCTCCCCATGTATGTGCTGGGGGGAGGGGAGGACCACTTTCTGGGACAGCTTTGTTGTCCTTTGCTGACTCAGTCCTTGGTCAGAGTGTGTTAGGAATGTGGAATTTTCACCTGGTCGCTGGCTGTGACCTTGGGCATCAGGTGCCTCTACAGCAATGCAGGTAAATGTTTTGGACCGTTCATCTTGCTGGGTTACGATGTATGTCCCAGGAGGCTCTGATGGGTGTGTAGCAAGGTGAGGGTGAACAGAAAGAAAAAGTGTTAAGGAGGTGTGAGTTCAGACTCTCAGAGTTCCTGTGAGCAAGTAAGTTCATTCATGCATCACTTACTGGGCTGCTCTCTGCTCAGGGCCATGCTGAAGGTCTCATTTACCGAAATCTGTAGAGAAAATTTTAATGCTAGAGAGCATTCCCTGGGCAAGCTGCTTTCACCGCCGGGCCTCAGTTTCCCTATTTGTCAGACGAATGGTTTGCTGAGAAGGGAAGCAGTAATAGTGGAACTCTTAAAAGTTGGAAAGGGTATAGAAGATCAGAGTCCCACTCCCAATTTCAAACATAGGAAAAAATTTGAGGCCCAGGGGTGTGAATAGCTTGTTTTGATGTTTCTAATACTCTCATATGCCAAGCTCTTTTTAAATATTATTGATTTCAGAGAGGAAAGGAGAGCGATATAGAAACATCAATGATGAGAGAGAAACATCGATTGGCTGCCTTCGGCACGCCCCACAGTGGACAAGCCCACAACTCGGGCATGTGCCCTGACTGGGAATTGAACCGTGACCTCCCGGTTCATAGGTCAACCCTGTGACCTCCCAGTTCATAGGTCAACCCGCAACCACTGAGCCACACTGGCTGGGCATCATATGCCAAGTTCTTTACCAGCTCAGAACTTTAAACCTCCCAACATCTTCAGGCTCACTTTCCTTCCCCAATCCCCTCGGGACAGCCCCTTGTACTGCTCCTAGAAGAGACACAAGTTCGAGCTCTGTGTCCTCCCCCAGTTTAGGTCCTGGCAGGTGTGCTGTTAGCAGTTGGATGACAGAGGTGAATACCTGGTGCTGCTCTCTCACTCACTCTGGGTCACCCGTCTACAGACTGTTCGGGGTCTCTGAAAGGATAGTGCAGCTGTAGCAAGCTTCTCGAACACCAGACATTCTTTACCCTTGGAAGAGGGCAAGCAGTATTGCTTCTGAGAAAACCTGACGTGGCTAGAGCATAATTTCCCAAATTTTAGTACTATGTGGACCACCTTCACGATATTTTGCTATGTGCATCTGTGCTTAGCTTACTTCATACTTGACTTTAAAGGAACTCAATTTGAAAAAATGTTTAAGCCACTTTCACAGTGGGAAACTAGGAATATCTATTGCCGTAAATAGAAAGGATCCTTTAAAATACAGTGGAGGAATAAAACCCCACTGCCTTTATATTCTAGCTCATACTGTGGCCTGCCCATGGCCCCAGCCACAGGCCTGCGCAGTCTTTGTTTTTAGGCAGATTGGCAAGCAATGGAGAAGAATTAAAAACATACTGTTGCTGAATGGAGCCCCTGGCGTCTTCACTGTGCAAGTCATTGGTTTTGTGCCTCCTGGTCATGCACCTGTACTTGCACTGGGCTGGTGTGGGGCCCCTGAGCTTGGGGTGCTGAGGAGCTCTGAGTGGTGCCTTGGGGTCTCTGATGAATCTAACTTTGGAAGTTTGGGGAAAGAGCTGAGCAGAGGGCATCTATTCCGGGCTCTCCGGAATTTCCTTCCTGCACCCCGGGTAGGAATTCCTGTCTGCTGGTCCTGCCTGCATGGCCTCAGGCCGATCGCTTGAGCTCTCAGGTGCAGGTGCTTCATCAGTGAGAGAACGGGGTTGATGAGATGGTCTGGGAGGACCCTGCCTGCTCTCAGGCTTCTCCTTACCCCTCCTGCCTCCAAGACAGAATTTGGGGGTGCGGATAGGTGGGAGGGTAAGAGGGCTGTGAAGAGGAGGAAAAATTTAAAAAGCTAGAAAGAGCCAGACTTCTTTGGGGTGGGGGGTGGGGTGGGGTAGAGGAGATAAATCCTGCCAAGGTGCTTACATCTCTGCAGCTGGTTAATGCTGGGAAACAAAATAAATCACACACAAGATGCTTACGTGTGGCCGTTTGCGTCCGTCTGGGCTTTTTCCTTACCTGAATCAAGGAGATGCCTGCCCATTCCCCTGAATTTAAAAGAAGCCAGTCCAATGGGCCTTCAGTCAGAAAAGGGATTTCTTAGCCACCAAGAACAAAATAGCGTCTCGGGTTACCAACCCCGAAGAATGCCCTGGCACATTCCTCCCCGTGGGGCTGAGCTGTTTTGTGTGCTGTCCGGCCTGGAGGCTGCTGGGGGTAGGGAATCCAGTGTTCAGCGTTCCCTTTCACCAGGGGGTTGGAAGAGCAGCCAGGCAGCTGGCCCTGCCAACTCTGTCCCCTTCTCACCCAGGGAAAGGCTGGGAGGCCGGAATTCCTGAGGACGGTTGTCCCAACAACCGGAGAGGGTCCAGTGGGCAGCTCGGGCCCTGCCTACTGGGCCAAGGGCTCTTCCTGAGGCCCGGCCGCTGGGAAGGTGACCGGTCCCCCCCCCCGGGGAGTGGGGTGCAGCCCCACAGAGTGGTCTTCCTTTAGCAGAGTAATAGCTCCGGGTGCTTCTGGGAGCTCCCAGCCACGGGCCAGCGTGGCGAGGGCATTTGACCCAGGGGTATGCCAAAACAAATACGCCGATTGTTCTCCGGGGAGGAATGGCCCTGCTGGAGAAGGTTCCTGAAGTCGGATTCCTGCCCATTCTGTGGTTTGTGGTCAGACCTCCTTCCAGGAGCCACCTGTAAACTCCCGGCAGAGTTTGGGGGGCTGTGTGATAAGTACCCAAGGCCCACATGGCCGAGGGGCTACGTGGAGAGGACTCAGCGACTTCCCTCATGACCTGAGGAAGAACTTGAGCTAACCCTGCCGTCTCAGAGGTCATTGACGTTGTGGGAAGTTGGGCCTAGCAGTCACAGGCCTTAACCTCCGCTGGTCACAGACCCTTGGGGGAACCTTACAGAGGTTAAGGATGCTTCTTGAAGACAAGTGTGAACATGGTTTGGGGCACCTAATTTCAGGGGGCTCGTGGACCCCAGGTTCATAAATTCCTGCCGTAGATTAGCTTAGAAACTGCTCATCACTAACTGTGTCCCCTCCTGTGTAGGTAGGAAGTAATGATTACTTACTGCATCCAGGCCGTCTGCTGAGAGCTTTCCATGGGATTTCTTTTAATCCTACCAACCCTGGGAATAGGTAGTTATCTGCCTGAGGAACCGGAGGCGGGGTGGGGGGGCGGGGCAGCTCTGAGTTGGATGAGGCCACTCAGCTTTTGTGAAATGAAGGCACACTGACTTACGAACCCTCATTTCTAAGCCCTGCACCGCTCAGCTGCCTGCTGAATCCAGACTTCTACTCCATTGCCTAAGGAGTTTGGCTTTGGGGAATGGACCTGGGACAGGCATGGTTTCACTTCCCTGAAGCCATTCTGGTGTGGCCAGACCGCAGTTCACCAGAGAGCAAGTGTGGATAATGGGGAAGAGGGTGAGCCTTTTGAGTCCTGGCATCTTGGGTCTGCTACGTGCTACCTGAGTGAGCCTGGCAAGTTACACACGCTCTCTGAGCCTTGGTTTTGTCTTGTGTAGGATCGGGAGATGCATAAGCAAGCTGGCAAGGGCGGTTCTGAGCATTAAATAAGCTAAGTCGGTCGGGCAGCCAGCACAGAGCGTGACATGCAGGAGGCACTTGGGGATGCCAGCTCTTTCAGCTTTTACTAGAAGTACCTGCAAAACACTTAAACGGAGACGGAGTCTCGCTGAGCTCTGTGGCAGTTGGCAGACAGGTTGGGCCTTTCTGGTCATGTAATCCAGGGTTCTCATTTCACTGATGAAACGGAGACTCAGAGACAAGTGACGTGCCCAAGGTCACACAGCAAGCAACCGTCAACCTCGAGTCGCTAGCACAGGTCTCTTTTCCTCTTTCTCTTACGAAAAATCAGATCCAGTTTCTCCTCTTCCATCGTAGTCGTTTGGGAATCTTTCACGCTTGGGGCTGAGTTCTTCCAAATCCCTTTTCACTGTGCAGACCAACTCGTTTCTTTCCTAGTGTCACAGCCCTGGGTGAGTTGCGTCATAGGAATTTGTCATTTGCCGAACAGTTAAAGCACCAGCAACGGCAAGTGAGTTACTATTTTATAATCAGTTACAATGGATTTAAGGTTATTGTCAGACTACTTTTCACCAATTTCTTTTTTTTTTAAGTATTTTATTGATTTTTTTACAGAGAGTAAGGGAGAGGGATAGAGAGTTAGAAACATCTAACAGCTGCCTCCTACACACCTCCCACTGGGGATGTGCCCGCAACCAAGGTACATGCCCTTGACCGGAATCGAACCTGGGACCTTTCAGTCCGCAGGCTGACGCTCCATCCACTGAGCCAGACCGGTTAGCTCACCAATTTCTTAAAGCAGGAGTTATAACCAGCCTGCCATGGAATTTACCTGAAGCCTCTATTCCCCATGCTTCTCCTCGTGGTCCCCTAATACCTACAGGTGTGCCTTCACAAGTTATTAGAGGATTTTCCTTCTCTTTCCGTTCCCCGGGAGTCTACGATGCATGGCGTTATCTTATGCCCATTATTAAGAAAGAAACAGGTTTAGAAACACTAGTAGAGATAAGAGGAAGAAATAAGAGACTTTGGAACCCATAAATGAATAAAGTAATAATAAAATGCGAACGTGTGAACGTTTGCTCTCTGCTGCACACTGTTTTCTATTACCTCATTTAATCCTTTCACCGACTGTGTGAGGTAAAAGTACTGTTATCTCCATCTGAGGATGAGGGAAGTGAGATCTAGGAAGGTTAAGTCACTTGTTCAAGGTCACCAGTAGGTGATGCACCCAGGGTGGGAGCCCAGGTAGTGGAACTCCTGAACCCAAGGTCTTATTAGCTGTAGGTAGCACTTCTGGGTGCCAGCATGCCCTGTCCACTGGTTGGCCTTGAGAATTACCATTTATTCCTAAAATCTGCTGTGGGTCTCAGCGAGAGATGCGGGCAAAGGAGGCTCCACCTGAGATGCCAGTGAGAGAGATCCACGCGGCGGGTGGCTTAGGAGACTGTTAGGCACGGACCCCACCTTC